GGGGGAGAGGGGGGGGGGGGGGAACGGGGGGGGGGGGGGGGGTATTAGCGGGACGTGGTGGGGAAGAGAAGAGGGTGAGCGAACCGGGGAAAGCGCCATTGGTGTTAGCGCGTATGTACCAGCAAAACCTGCGCTGTAAAGTTTCTAGGCCCCACCGGCATCGAGGCATTCGACAATGCCGAAGACTTCCGAAGCCACACGATACTCATGCGAGTCAAAATGGCCGAGATCCGTTTCGATCTCTTAACGATCTTTTGATATTTGAAGAGAGGGTAAACGACAGTTATTTTTTTTCTTTCTTTCGTTCATTCTGTTGTAATTTGAGTACCACTGAGTACTATTTGTCAATACTGCTCATTCACTCCAATGTCCAATGAATTTACGAATGTGAAACGACTGAACCTACAGGCTAATATAATCGGTTACATGACGTATAAAATGTTTGATCTTCAAGTTATAATGGAAAATACTTCTTCTAATTAATAAAACACAGCATTTAGAACACATCGACAAGATGTTAATACAAAGTTTATGTTCAAAATTACCGAATGATTAAGTTGTTTCTAGTACTATCAGTAGGTATTCCTTGTTGCAACAAGTTACAGTGAAAAACGCTGCAAAGATTATAAAGTAGGTATTAGTCAATTACATTTCTTAAACGAGTTAAAATACTAATATATAGTATTAATAACCTTTAATATATTTGCTAAAACTTAATAAAGTAAACTAAAAGTCCGAATATTGATGTAACAATTGTTATTGTAAAAGTGTGATTAACTAGATAAAATTAATCATAGTAAATTGACTCGAGTTATGTCCAAACCGATGTCAATGTCATACAATGAGAAATCGGATTCGTTTCATAAACAAAAAAACGCTTGGTTAAACTGATTAATACGGGTGTTTGACAAAACCTACATAAATAATAAAAATTAATGGATATTTCGTTTAAAATGTATATAATGAAGCTGCGATTAAAATGTATATAATGAAGTTGCGAGCTAAACATTAGTTTACTATTATTGGTTCACACATCAATGGTTCGTCGTGATCTTCAAACTTCTACACCGTCGGTTAGAATACACTTTCATATTTATAAATTATCTGCGACTTCAATTCAAGTACCATTTTAGTTTGGCTATCAATTTCTCTTAAATAATCACAAATTGTTACGAATCCTATGCACAAAATATTACAAATAAATGTAATAATGAATATTCCATATGGTGGGGCTACAAACTTATCGGCAAACCAGAGTTTAACTTCATCGATTCCGCATTCTTTCTCGTTCTTCACTAATCATACAAAATTAATCAAAATAATAAATTATAATAATCGTCTCTGAGATATAGTCGCATTTACTCTAATAAATCAAATATCTTAAATAAGTTTATTAGACGGATATACGGTAAAGCAGCCGTCACTTAATTGCGTTAGATCTTTAATATTTAACGAAGGAAAATCTACGAAAACATTTATATCACACGGCATTTTGATATGCAAAATTTCTGGGCCTAATAACGGTTCTGATGTTGGTAAAATTATCCTGTCTGACTCGGTATTGACGTACTGAAAATACGATGCACGCAGACTCACTGGTGCGACCAATGGAAGTGTTAGGAGAAACTGCGCAACTGGGCTCTAGACTGCAACTAAGGCCCGCAACGGGTCTTGCTTACCAAACGATTAACAAATACTCGATTGATGTTACTTTTCAGCTATTATTACAACACGATAACTCGCTTACTCGTTTGAGAAGAAAAAATTAATAAAAGCATCCCTACATTAGTAAATAAATAATACAAATCATTTACGAGAACTACTTATAAGCCAGGAGAAATAATTTATGTAGTATGCTTTCATTTATGGTCATTTCTTATAATCGACAAGAGATTAATTTATAAACGAATAATATATAAATGCTTGTGTGAAAAACTTGAAGCTTTGTTTTTGTAAGTACATGTGTCTGGGCCCACACGCGTGAATATGCACATAGTGTGTTTGTGCAATTAATATTCGATAAAGTCGTTGATTTAAAGACTCTTCATTTAAAATGCTGTCATGTAGTAGTGTACTGTGTGTGTATATATATGTATATATGTATGTGTATATATATATATATATATATATATATATATATATATATATATATATTGTATAATAGTAAATTGAAAGAAAAAATTTCATCCATCGAAGTACACACATACGCATGCGGAAGCACACAAAACAATTATTTACCATTTTAATTAAATCAATAACGATTAGTTACTACAAATATTGTATTTTATGTTCGTTAAATATTCATTTGTATTGGTTAATCATATAATACGAGAAGAATGGCTATAGTTTTTGTACGGGAATAAATGTTGTCGTTATTGTTTGAAATTCTTAGATTATTAATAAATAAATCCTTAATCGATATTAAACGTCTTTTCATTATTAAGCATTAAAAAAAAAAAAAATGTTTCTTTCAAACGATTTTTTCTAAAAGTGAAACTTATTCTTAGTATTTAATTACTGATATTTCTTTTACATATATATTATCAATATTATTATATTGGTAAATAGTTTTTATCATATTTTTTTAAACCTTTAGAGACATCGAATATCATTTCTTTAACACAGAAATCAAAAACAAAAACAAAAAAACTTAACTGAAAGAAAACATGTGAAATCGATTTTTTTTTTACATAATTTTACATATTCTTTTTATTGTATTTGTTATGTATTCATTTTGTTATGTTGAGAAACTTCGTGGTTCAACCAGTATTAGTAGTTACACAATTAAGAATTATTGACTAGAAGATTTTTAATATATTTATGTAATTCTTTAGGTTAGTCATAATTTATTTAAAATACATTTTCCTACGTGTCATTTACGTAATTTAAATAAGTTAATTATTGCATTATTAGATTAACTTCATGAGTAGCTGATGGGGAAAAGTATAATTATTTCACGAAAATGAATTAATAAGAGTTATATAAAACAAATATATTTTATATTTCTGTTATTTGCAACTTATATAAGCAATATAAAATTCTTTTATAGAACATTTTTTTTTTTTTTTTTTTAATCATTCTTAATTAGACCCTACACGTAATAGTGTTAAATATTGACATTTCAGATTTCAAAGTATATAATACAGTTTGATTAGATTACTTCAATAATGATTCCAGTCAATTGTAGATGGCGCTTATATATATATATATATATATATATATATATATATAAAGAATAACCTTTTTATTTTATTATTCTGAATTTTGAACTATTAAGTGATTCATAAAAAAATCATCTAAATAAGATTTTTTGGTATATGTCCATTCATATTAAACTAATAATCCTAATAATCACTTTTAATAATTTATTTATTTTAATGAATGAATCACAAGCGCCATCTGTACTTCATATATATATATATATATATGACACTATACACGAATTTAATTGATTTACGATAAAGTACAAATAAATTAAATGACTTATTAATAATACTCTGCATAATAGCAATATGTATATACGCCCGCATACGCACGCACGCATGCAAGCACACGTGCATCAATACACAGAAAGAGAGAGAGAGAGAGAGAGAGAGAGAAATAATGTATCGAATATTTATTTAATATTATTTTATAAAGCATACAGTCCTTTCGAAGAATTTCGATTCTCATACTATAAACATACTCAAGTATGATATAGAATTACGAACGTCGGCAAAACATACTTAAAACTTATGAATCAAGTATACGGTTAACTCGTTAAAAATCCATATACAAGAAATTTATTCTAAAATAAAAAATATTCAATTCAACTTTACTTCGTTATGTAAATTTTATTTATTTCACTTATGTGAAATAGTAGTGAGGCCAGCAAAAACAAAAATAGTCAAGATAACTTTATAATTGAATTTTTTTGTTAATTTATAACATTTGTTTATATTTTCGGCTAAAGTACGTGTTTACGAAATGATGTAATACTTGTAAATGCAGATTCCGAAAGACTTTAAATATTTAAAAAATTATAATTTTGTTAAAATTTTTAAAAGTATCAGTGGTTATAATGTATTAAAATATCTATGGATGGATGTGTAAAATTTAAATGAGATAAAAATAATACTCAACGTTACTTCTTGTTATACTTTCATTATATTTAAACTAGAAAACTCTATATGAAAACCAATTTTTTTTTTTTTTTTTTTTTTTTTTTTTTTTTTTATTATAGAATATACGATTTTTTTTATTCGACGAAAGGGCAAAAGAAAATTATCTTTAATCATAAGAAAAAAGAGTGGGGGGGGGGGCAGCCATTTTGGATCATACTACTTCGTCAGCATACGTTGACTGACACAAACTGCTTTGTGTGAGTAGAATGTTCCAAGATGACTGGCAACCATTCGCCTCACCTTGACTAACAGCACAGCCAAATACTACATGTTTTCTGACCTACCTCATACTCATACATATGAGAAAAGTATATATAGTTATATATAAACGAATTTTATGATTCTTAATTTTTTAAACTAACATCGCAGTTTCTTAAGACTGACTTGTTCTCTTAAAATAACCTGCATCGGGAATCGAATCGACGGATTTTAAATTTAATTTCCAAGGAATCCAGTCAATTTATAATATTCATCATTAATTTAGTATAAAATAGGGTATATAACCGGTTAACAAATATAAGTAAGAATATGAATATCTGAACAACACTTTTGTTTTAGGGAACATGCCCACTCGTAGTGATTTCATTTTTGAGAATAAATGAAAAATTATTTCAATAATAGATCGAACAAAATAATAAATTAAGCTTTGCAAATATACAACAATGAAAAATGTCAACTATTTGGTAGGGAGTGAACAATATTATGTTTAGAGTGACTGTTAAAACAATGTATATTAAAAATGGTTTTATATTGCAATTCATTTCTCAAAATTGGTATAACAATAACAATCGATAAAACGAATGTCTAGAATTTGGTTTAAAAAACAGTTATGTTTTTTTTCGATAGAAAGTCAATAATAGAGATCGATGAAAAAAATACGTTCATTACTACCTAGTATAAACCTAATGTTATTTAATATTAATATTAACATGAACAATAATATTAACAAAAATTACTATAATATAATATGTTGTGGGTAATTGAATTACAGAATTGTAATTGGCTTATTCACGGAAATATAATTTTATAAATGATGCAAGTATACGCATTGTATTCCCTATTTTTGATTTCTTAGGTTTAACATATCAGGACTTTGTTCCGAAAACGAGTAATATTAGTATGGTTAAAGTGTTGTAGCATTGAAAATAAGTTTACAAAAAAAAAACCGACAATATTTAGTATACCGAAAATATTCATATTTAAAAAAGAAATGTTTCAAGTTTAATTTTACTTAATAGTAATGAGAAATTACACATTAGATATTTCATGCGCAACTAATGGGTTATTTTCATTTTTAAGTTTTTGTTAATTAAACTTATACTAAAATGAAAATATTGAATTCACATAGTAAAATAAAATTATCCGATTAGTCAAATAGTATAGTTGATTAAAATAAAAAAAAAAAAAAAAAAAAAATTACTTAATTTTAACACGAAGTTAAAGAAGGACTTCGAATATTTAAGTAGTTATAAGTTTAACTTATATTTATAGATTATTTATTAGGTTATAGCGATCAGGTTTATCAGCTTTGGGATTTTTACCATTCATAGATTATGTATTACAAGTGTAAATACATGCACACATATGCATAATTTTCAGAATTTCAATAAATAAATACATTATTTATAAAATGTTAATGTTTTTATAGCATTAAAGTTTTTTTTTTTTTTTTTTAATATTAAACTATCGAAAATTATTGTACTGGAATTTGTATGATACTAGATTTCAAACAACGGTTGAAAACCAATTCATCAACATGGCCGACAAATTGTATGATTTAACTTAACACGCATAATCCTAACCCAGAAAACGAAAATAACTTCAATTAAATATAAACATAAACATTCATAATTAATTTATAATTCATCGCAAATATGAATCAATTAATAGGAATTGATTTCAATAATTAACATATTCAATAAAAAACGTAATCGATCTTAAATTGAAAAACAACGGAGACTTAAGATTTTATTTTTTGTTAAATTTCCTCCTTATTTCTTTAGAATTAATATTTGGCATTGTTAAACCAAAGCCGCTAATAAAACAACTAAGACCAATAAAACAATTTAACATTATACTGCCAAAAAGAACAATAAAAACTTACCGTTGGTACTCAAAAGCGTCGAAGAACCACAACATGCGACCCAAGATAAATGAAGAACGCAATGTTGCCACGTTGAGCTTTACCTGTCTCTGGAGCGATGTTGGTGCTTTGGTGTAACACCACGTAAATAAGCTCATCAGCATCTTATAAAAAAAGAAAAAAAGAAAAAAAAATGAAAAAAAAGAGAGAAAAAGAATAATGATAATAAGGCATATTATGAACCTAAATTCAAATATCATCAACCTACTTGCATTTTTTCAAAATTTGGTTTAAATTTATCTTAAACATATCTGAATGTTATACACTTCAGTTTACAAGGAAGCAGAAGGGATCTTCATTATAGAACGCATGCGCATTAAATTGGATTACTACGTAATTCGCCTATTTTTTTGTCCTAAAAGTTATATTTAGACATAAAAAAAAAAGTTTTGTCTGAAAGCTTCGGGAATTATTGCACTATATAGTTCATCATCTTAATTTAGTACAAATTATATTTATAAATGAAAAATAAATTAATTAAAACTACATAGAGCCCGATTATCTACTAATTTGATGTCCATTCGTGAAGGGAATATTGATGCAGTTAAATGTATTCTCCGGAATTTATTTGAAACGTGTAGTTTAAGACAAGACTTATTACACAATAATAACAGAATATATTTGGAATACTTTTTTTTTGTAAAGTAAAATATGTCAGAAGGATTGTCTATTTTGGCCACAACGTCTTTATGGTAAAACAATTAGGCAAGCATTACATGTACGAGATCATGAAAAATTTCTTATAAAAAATAAACAATATAATAATTTCTATGACTGATAACAAACGTTTTATGCCATTTACAAATGACGAACATTAACTAAAGTCATTCGCTAGAAGATACTTTCTAATACAGTTAACGTTTACATCTAGTTTCATTTGGACATTGCTTATGTATTACATTTTACTAATCTTCACATTTATTGTAATGATATTTTATATAAGTGTGTTTATGCAAATATGTTTACCTTTATTCGGTAAAATTGTAGAACCAAAACAAACAGAAATGAAATCTAAAGCTTAAAGTTCATTTCAATATCTAGTGAAATTCACTGGTATATTAATTTGACAAAGAATTTATTATTATTAATATCGTATTATTTACAAAATTTATACATGTTTGTCTTTATAACAATGATTTAATAAATACTAAATAGAAATTAGATTTATTTCTAACTATAAATTAAAAAAAAAAATAAATAAATAAATAATAATAATAATAATAATTTAGGAAAATATTGAAAATTGTTATCACATTAATTTCATTGATTAAGATTTATTTGATTGAAATAATTTTATCGGGTTTAACAAGTTATTTGTATGTAGCACCGGGCTATCTGAAATAATATTGTAACGCGTTTTATGATAATCAACTCTGGATTTTCGTAGGTAATTTATAATTTATAATTTATAATAAAAGATAATATAACAACTAATTGATAATAGGAAAATCTATAAGAGTTAAATACAATATCAATTTATCGACATATATTTCATGAAGTTTTTATACTTATTATTCGACATGATCTCTTAGTTTTTATTAATAGAATGATCAATAAATTCGATTCATTATCGATCTTTTTAGGGTAAAAATAACTCAATTATTTATTGAACTTTAATTGATCTTGCGTTAATTTGATTAAGTAATATTATTAAACGTACTTTGATAATTAAGAAAATATATCGAATTATTTCACATAAAAGATTTTATTTCTCATTCGGAATTTTTAAAGCAGTTCCGTACCTTCCGAAGATTTTCCCTA